CTATTTTAAATGAGAAAAACATCATACCCAATATCTGCTGTTTCAAGCATGTCTGTTGGTGGTGTATTTGATGCAGAGCGTTTTGCACTTTCTTCTCAGTCTTCTCAATCCTTTCAAGCACGACGAATGGATTCGTTTTTCATTATTAAGTTCTAAAATGGGATTTGATCAATTTTTTTTTTTTTTTTTGTTTTGAGTAGTAAAACTAAGCGTGATTACTGAAGTTTGATTAGAAAAATAAATTTTTCATTATATGTTAAAAAGAGTAAAGTGTACATTCTCATATATATTAAAGAATATTTAACTAGATTAATTAAGACTAAACTAAATTAACTAACTTAATACTCTTTCAAAATATGGACAATTAATGTTACAAATGACCTTCTTGAAAAATAAGTGCAAAAACAAAGGAAAAGAAATAGGTACCGTAAATAAATATGCTAATTGATACTTCAATTGAATAAGTAAAAATTTCACCAAATCAAACTTCATTTGATATCAAATAAAATGACAATCAATTTCAATATGTTTAATCAGTTTATGACATATTGGATTCGATACAACTGGGTTGTCAAATAATAAGATAACTGAAATAAACATGTGTCTCCAAAATAAAAAATAATAATTCTTTAATCCAAGCTAGTTAACTAGTAAGTGTAATTAACATTTTGTACTTTATTTTAGTAGATGAACAAGAAATAGTAGATATCTTTTTAGTTTGTCCATAATATAAAAGAATCCCATAAAATATACAAAACCTAGTTATAAATTTCCTCCATTTCGTGTAAGCATTCTAATTTGCATTTTAACAATGTTTTAAAATGAAGCGAAGAAACTATTAAAAAGAAAAAAAATCTTATACTGGCTTATACTTAAGATAACAAAGTAAATAATGAGTAGGTTTTAAATAAGGCTCTCATGGCTTTGGTTTATTTTATTTAGTTTATTTTGTAATTATTGAAATTTTAATTGATATATATATATATATTTTAATTTAATTTAACGAAAATAAAGATAATAATAATGATAAAATTGGGTAAAAATATTATTTCGATTTAATTGAAATTAATTTTGAAAAAAATGGGTGAAAATTTGGATTCTGGGGGTATTTTTGAAAAGAAAATCGGAAACCGGGGGTCAAAACGTAATTTAGAAAAGTTGTGCCACGTCAGCACCACGTCAGCAGCCACGTCAGCGGCCCGGCCAACCAGGACGCACCGCGTGGCAAGGACACGCTGACTAGGGGACGGGCCACGGGGGCGATCCGCGTGCGCGCGATCGGACGGCCGAGATCCGTTCCCACGCACACGAACGACCCAGATCAAACGTGCGCACGGACGACCCAGATTCACGCGCACGGACGGCCCAGATTCAATTAGGCATGGACGGCCCAGATTGCATCGCGATGAACGGTCCAGATTTAATCCCAATTAAATCGCGATCGAACGGTCCAGATTCAATCTTGATGGACGGTCAAGATTAAAAGGCGAAGGGTATAAATACCCCCACCCACACCTGACCAAAGAAACCCTAGCCGCCAGTGCTCGCCGGAGAAGAAGAACCAGTCGCCGGAGGAGCTGGCAGCCACCACCCACCGCCGCACCGGGGAAATTTCCAACCGCCGATCGAGGTAATTTTTCTCCCTCTTACTCGTTTTTTGACGCTGAGTCTGCCTATGGCCAAACCGGAGCCAAACCACCGGCCAAACGGCCGAAAAACTCAGCCAAAACCCAGCGGCGCTGCCGCGCCCCTCCTCAATTTTTGCCTCCGATGAGGCCCTTCCCGGCCTCCGTTTGATGCAAATTTTATACCACTGTGATCACCGTTCTTTTCTCTACAGGTTGATTGGAGCCAAACATCAAAACGCGACTCACACCGGAGGAGCCGCCGCACCCGAGAGCACCGCCGCCGGTAAGTTTCAGTTTTTCGTGATTTTTCGGCCCACCGAGGGCCCTAGGGTTGTTCTATCGCAGGGACCGATGCAAGCATGGCCGAATTCGGCCGAAAACGGCCAACTCGAGGCGAATCGCCGCCGCATCGCCGGAGCACGGCAGAGCTGCCGTGCCAAAATTGCGATATTGGCCAAAAGGGGCCCTAGGTCTAATTTGAAATTTTTTTGGGACACATGCAGGTACTAGTAGTGCGTTTCAGCTCCCCGGAAAAAATTCAGAAAAAATTATGGACAGCCTGTAGGCGCACTGTAGAGCCGTATTCAGACCCCAAAACAAGTAAGGACCCCTCACCCTATTTCCTATCACGGTATTAAAGTTAAATAAATAATTAAACTGTACTTTGTGACTTTATAGATGTATAATTGATTTAGGTTGCCAGTGGAGCCCGAGTCTGATACTGTATTGGTCTATTATTGTTTGATTTAATTTTCAGTATTAAATGCAGTATGATGTTTGATGTAATTATATTCTGGTCCCGTATGCATGAATCATGGTTTCCTGATTATGGTCGGTATTATGCTTAACCCGATACTGTGTTGTCCTGTTTGGTGTTCATTACTGGTTTACATGTTGTGTGTGTTTGGTTGATTGAAATCAAGAAAAAGGTCAAAAAGGTTATGTGAATTGATAGTGAATGATGTGGATAGCCTGACTAGATATCCTGTGAGATGGTGGACGGACCGGGTCCGTAGGGAATCCTATCGGGTACGTGGTCTCTCATACCGGACGGGGTATGGAGACCTTCTGTGTTTTGGCGCCGATACCGGACGGGATATGGGGACGGCCCGTTTCACCTTCATACCGGACGGGGTATTGAGGTTCATGGTTTTGGTGCCCATACCGGATGGGGTATGGGGACGGCCCTGGAATCAGGTTATAAATGTTAAGGGTTCACGGGTAGCGGGATCCCTATGGATCCCCATGGATACTAGTAGGCTGGTAAATGAGGAAAATGTATTATTTAATGATTGAGATGCAAAGGCGTTGTAAGTATTTTGTTATACAGTTCATATGATTTCATGATGATGATAATGTTATTGCTTTCATATGTTGTTTTATGAACCTCATCAAGGTAAGTGGACAGTAAAAGTTTTTATGTTAATAAACGAGTTTATTATAAATCATGCTCCATTGGTCTTTTGTGTTTTCTACCCACATTTACTTCTGTGGCGGTGAGATAGTGTGATGTCTTTACTGGGCTGGTATAGCTCACTCCCTATTTAACCATTTCAGATCAGGAAGACGTTGTTCTCGAGCCCGTTCTCAGGAAGACGGCGAAAGGGACGCCTAAGGACTCCGTAGTTATATTTATAGTTCTTATTTTCGAGTATCTCTTTTAGTTAGTTTGTTCTTTTATACTTTGAGCACGTTTTTAGTTTTAGTGAAAGGGATGTTAATCAAAATTTTTATTACGCTTCCGCATTTGACATTTTTAATACACATATTTCATTTTAAATTTCTGGGGCTGTTACATACTAATTGATACTTCAATTGAATAAGTAAAAATTTCACCAAATCAAACTTCATTTGATATCGAATAAAATGACAATCAATTTTAATATGTTTAATCAGTTTATGACATGTTGGATTCGATACAACTGGGTTGTCAAATAATAAGATAACTAGAATAA